GCAATGATGGTGCCAACTTGGGCCAGTGAAGCAATGTCCTCCACAACTAGACTGAAGAACAAAAGGACAGCAACTTGTCTGTTCCCCTTCCCCCAATTGCCCAGCACTGTTCCCATCCCCCCAATTCCCCAATTTAAAAAAATATTTAAAAAAAAATATTAAGCAGTTATAAATAATACTGCAATGGATAACTATGCATATGTATTTCCGTACTGTTGGAGGAGGTGAATCTTCAAGATAAATTCCTATAAAGGGAGCACTGGATAAAAGAGTAAAAACACATGTAGTTTTCTTAATATTGCCAAATTCCCCTCTATGGGGGTTGTAAAATATAGTATTTTGATTTACATTCATGTGGTAATATACTGGTACCTTGCAAATCCTGGTGCACCTCTTTGGGATTTCAGGTGTTAGCTAGATGTAGTCTCATGATGTTGGAACTCTCCCTCGCACTCCTGCCAAACCTGAATGTTCTTATATATTTTTAAATTTTGCTTATCTTTGGAGAAAGGAATTACAAGTTACTTTAACTACTTACTGAGTGGTGTTGTATCTGGAGGTGGAAAATTCTCAGTGAAGTTGACATTACACAAGTCTGTGCTACAGCAGCAGAAACGATATGTTCCATTCTGAATTGAGGGAGGGGTGGTCGTTACTACGCATTCTTCATAGTGACACTCCTGGGGATCTCCAATGTGAGACCAACAGCCTACAAATTGATATGAATCTAAATAAGTTAGGAGTCAATATGATAAACAAACCTAAAAGAAAAACAACAAACTGAGAAATAATTGCAATTAATGTGACAGAGAGTGTACACATAAGTTCTAAAACACTTGCAAACCAATAGGAAACATACAAGGAAATATACATTTTTTAAATAACAGGAATATGGCAAAGTATAAACAGGTATTTCATAGGGGAAAGAAGCCACCAACAAAATGTTTAACTTCACCATTAATAGAAGAATTATTATTAAAGCAACAGTAAAATGTCATTTTTCTCTATATCTATGAAATTGTTCTAGGTTTAAAAAATAATATACAGTTGTAACAAGGATTCAGTAACACTCTCATACACTGCTGGAAGAAATGTAAATATATATAGCATTTCTAGAAAGCCACATGGCAGTTTTAATGAAGAGACTTTAAAATATTCATGTTTTGTAATCTAATAATTCTACCTCGAAGAATCTATTCCAAAGCAATAATCAGATAAAACCAAAGATTTATGTAAAAAAGATGTTCACTGAAGCATTATCTATTACAGTGAAAACTGGAAAACAACATAATGTTCAACAACAGAGTAATGTTATAATATATGTATACATATAAAGTAAATCATGATATGTTATACAATGAAATATTGTGCAGAAGTTAAGAATGTTTTCAAAAAATATATAAAGCACGGGGAAATTTAAACAATATAACTTAAAATTTAAAAAATTAGGTATAAAATTATTTATACAGTATTATCCAATTTTGAAAAAAAAAAAAGTACACATACATATAAACATAGAGGTACATAGAAAACACACCTGAAGGGAATAAACTAATATAGTAAAAAGAGTTTTCAAGAGTATGGAATTGTAGACATTTATTTTTCTTAGTTTCTGTATTTTTCTAAACGTCATACACTAAGGATGTAAATTATACTAAGAAACACGTTATTAACATAAGCTAAAAATCAATTACACTTTACAAATTTGGGGTTTGAAGGTGAATATATACTTTTAAATTTACGGTTTTCCAGGAGAAGATTGTGATCTCCACCATGTCTTTTTTAAATAAACTTCAGTTCTATGAAACACAAAGTTATTTCAGGTAAAACAAAAAAGTATTACTTGCCTTGTTTTACGAGATTTATGTCCCCTTTTGATTTTTCCCAGAGGCCATAGCAGGTGCTACCTTTTGAGCACAATATTGTTCCATTTTCATGAGAGATTCGACTCTCACCTATTCCAAGGTCTTGCTGATATGGATCTTTAAATGCACATAGACGTTCTTGATTCTGAGAAGCTAAAATACAGAAAAAAGAATGACAAATTAATGACAAATGATAATCTTTGTAAAACATTATTATATAAAATCTTAAGCATTAATATGAAATGTATTGTAAATTTCCCTATTAAATCCCTAAAAAGGCTCAAATAAATTTGTGATTTTATATTTATTCAAAAACCTCTTTCTGTTCTACTTAATTTGTAACCTCCAAAGAAGAAGCAAATTTGAATATTCATTTCCCAAAAGCAATTCCCCTCTTACACAAATTATTCTTACCACTCTTTTTTCCTATTAAATAACTTCCATGTCCAAATAAAGAAGTAACATCAAAAAAAAAAGTCCATGCTATAAATTATCAAACCTCCAAAACAAACTAACAAATGTAGAGGGCTAGATAATTTTGGGAAATTCTACAATACTCACTTTTATCATATTTTACACTCAGTTGTAGAAAACTAAACATCTATCATTAGGCATTGTAAACTACGGATGAGGAGAGTGACTATAAGTGGATATACAATTTCCTTTGGGGGGGATAGAAATGTTCTAAAATTAGACTGTGGTAATGGCTGCACAACTGTAAATTTACAAAAAAATAACTATTCACTTAAAATGAGTGAATTTCATGGTATATAACTTATATCTTAATAAATCTGTTTTTAAAATCTAAGGCTATTAGTGGGCAAAAAGAAAATGACTTTCTGTGACTAAAAATGTCAATATAATAGCCAGAAGAAGAAATGCTCAATAATCCCTTATAGTATAGGGACAACCCAAAGTATGAGGTATGATCAAATAATAGGGTGCATGTTTAAATAAAAAATATATATATTACAGTAAAAGACACATTGCCATTAATCCCCCTCAAAACATTTCCCCTCACTTCAAACACAATTATCCCATAGTTCTTGCCACTTCCTGAAGAAGTTCTGGAAGTCATCTTTCGTGAGTGTCTTTAGTTGTGCTGTCATGGCTGCCTTGATGTCCTGAATCGATTCAAAACATTTACCTTTCACGGTAATTTTCACTTTGGGGAAGAGCCAAAAGTCACACAGTGCCAGATCCTGTGAATAAGGTGGATGAGGACAAACTGTAATGTTTTCTGTTTGACAGAAATTGCCGTACCAGAAACAATGTGTGATATGGAGCCTTTACATTGTGATCACAAAATATGGTGAATGCTACTGCCAAGTGCCACCCAACAAGAAGGCAGGAATCTTCAATACAGGAAGCCATATGTCAAACCTTAGTAACAATGTGTGACAAGTTTCAACTTGTTCAGTGTAGTAAGTCAGGTGTGAGCTACGGTTGAGAGAAAGTGTGTTTTAAAGTGTGCTGTAAATCATGAATCACAAACAATGCATTGACATGAACTGGGCAAACGGTTTCATCCTCCATCATGACAATGCTCCATTGTCACACATCACTTGTGGTTTACGGCAATTTCTGTCAAACATAAACATTTTGCTGTGTCATCATCCACCTTCCTCACTGGATCTGGCACAGTACAACTTTTGGCCCTTTCCCAAAGTTAAAAGGACTATGAAAGGTAAACGTTTTGAAGTGATTCAGGACATAGAAGCAGCCATGACAGCGCAACTAAAGTCACTCACAAAAGAGGACTTCTAGAACTGCTTCAGAAAGTGTCAAGAATGATGGGAAAGCGTATTCGAAGTGAGGAGGAGTATTTTGAGGGGGATTAATGGTAATGTGCCTTTTACCATAATAAATGTTTTTTTATTTAAACATTCACCATATTTTTTTATCACACTACATACTTTCAATGTCAATTAATCTTTCTCCATATATATAATCTGATTTAACTAATTTCAAGAGAACATTTGTCACATAATTAATTTATCAGCTAACAAATATATACCAACATTGCTAAGAATAAGAAAGAAGTAAAAGGTTTTCAAAAGCAACAGCTGATCTTTATTTTGTTTCTTAAAGTAGACTTTCCTAATGTGTTTGACTAGCCAGAATAATAAATAGTCTAATATACTTGACCAATATATTCCTCATGGCTTCTGATTTATTTCTTCATGTTGGGTGTGTATCTTATTTAGTATGGCTTAGTTCACTAGCACCTTAGCATTGGAGATGATTTATTAAAATAATGTTTCTGAATCTACAAAACTAAGACCAAATTCTGGAGAAGAAATGAAACAGCCAACAACTGTATACCCAAACCCATTTAATACTCATAGACCTGTCAGATTTATTATAACAGAAAGCACCTTCAAAGTATTGGGCTAGGTAAATAGCATGTTCACAAGTAGGTAATACAGAGTTCTACTCCTCAAGCATCTTATATAGTCTGTTTAGATATAGTAATTACTGAATTCAGTAATCACAACAGACAATAATTACTGAAAAATAAATGTGACTTGATTTCTACAATTTAAAACCACTTCAGGTAGTCTTCTAGAAGATATTTACTAATACCAATTAACTAGCCAGAAAATATAATAGCCTATTCATAAAAACTAATTCTAGGACATTAGCCTAATTATGATTCTACCATATTTTTACCACATGTAATCACATATTCAAATTCCTTTAATGAAAAACTTAATTATATTTACTAGATTATCTTACACATTTAATACTAGTATTTCTTTTTTTTTTCTTTCTTTTTTTTTAATTGGGGAATTGGGGGGACGGGAACAGTGCTGGGGAATTGGAGGAAGGGGAACAGACAAGTTGCTGTCGTTTTGTTCTTCAGTCTAGTTGTAGAGGACATTGCTTCGCTGGTCCAAGTTGGCACCATCATTGCGCTCTTCCC